CCCCCAGCCATCTCCAGCCAAACGATCCGGTGGTGACAAACACGGAGGCACTTCACGGTCATTAACTAATTAACAATCAGAACAGCCTTATGAGATGGTCACATTAGTCCTGGCCAGGGGAGCGGGGCAGCTTGTCCCAAAGCTGCATCAGAGCCAGCCGGGCCTGCTGCCCCCCCCCGGCCGCAGCCCCCGCTTCACTCAAGAGGCTGTTTTCTGCCCCGGCACCGCAGCCAGGAAAGGCCTGGACGGTCACCCACCCTCAGCACGTCCCCTGTCCCCCTCCCCAGACAAACCGTGTCCCGTGGCACGGCCCGCAGCGGGGAGTCTGAAGGGGTCAGGTGCAAACGCCACGCTGGGACCGAGCTGCGGCCACTCAGCCCCTTGGGCGGCGGGGACGTCACCTCTGGGAGAGCCGATGCGTAAGCGAGAGAGAAGGTAAATTAGAGACACCCCCACCAGCCCGTTGTTAAAAGAATGTCCTTAAAGGACCTGGCACGTGGCCTGTGGTTGTGCCATCCGAGCGCCTTCACTCAGCAGATACCCAGCTCTTCCCCGAGACGCTCGCAGTAGTCTGCTTCTACCTTAAAAACTAACAGGAAGTTAACAAAAAGAAGCATTACAAGGTGACAGGGACCGTTTTCACTTGCTTTCTTGCCAGAAAGACTGACCTTTCTGTCCACCTCACCAGCAGAGCGCCCAGACGACCGGCTCGGGCGTTACGAGCTGGCTGACCTCAGTTTCTGATGACGGTAACACCATCCCCAGCCCGGAGCCTGGCCTGCAGCCTCTGGACCGGGCCCTTCCTGCGGCTGGAGAAAGATGGGTTACGCTCCTGGTGCCAGGCAGACAGCGGGGAGGGACGGCGGCTGACCTGGGGAGAAAAATGTGTGTGCGGGGAGCACAAAGAAGGAGCAGAAAGGGGCAGCGGGAAGCTTTGTGGTTCTTCATGGGTCCTTGATCTTACCTCCACCGCTTGGGTCTTCTGCCACCTCGCCCCAGCTTGCCCGTTCCTCCGGAACTAGATGGTCTTTAAGGTCCCTTCCAACCCAAACCATCCCGTGGTTCCACGAACGCTAAAGCGGGAATGCGTTCACAACCACTTCCTCTCCTTCCCTAAAGTCCTGCGTGCTTCTAAACTTCGTTAATTAATGCATTATCCATAATTTGTTGTCATCATGGCAGGTCAAGTTGGGAGCTTCCGGATCTACTGGACGGTAAAATCCAGGCCATCAGTGACTCGGATGGCGTGAACTATCCCTGGTATGGAAACACGACGGAAACCTGCACCATCGTGGGTCCCACAAAGAAGGAATCCAAGTTCAACATCAGCATGAACGACAACTTCTACCCGAGCGTGACGTGGGCCGTGCCCGTCAGCGAGAGCAACGTGGCCAAACTCACAAGCATCCACCGGGATCAAAGCTTCACCACCTGGCTGGTGGCCACCAACACGGCTACCAGCGAAATGGTGACCCTGCAGACTATCAAGTGGCGCATGAGGCTGGGCATCGAGGTGAATCCCAGCAGGCCCCTGGGGCACCGTGCCAAGCTGCAGGAGCCCTCCGCTCAAGAGCAGCCCCAGGTCCTTAGCAAGAATGAGCCAATACCACCCAGTGCCCTTGTCAAACCCAACGCCAACGATGCTCAGGTACTCATGTGGAGGCCAAAGGACGGACCACCGCTTGTGGTGATACCTCCAAAGCACCGATAATACACACCTGGCGTCCCGGCACTGAAAGGGAGAATAATAAAAAACCAACTCCAACCAACCCACCACAAAACAGCAAACCGATCCCTTAGGTATTAGAACACACACGTATAACCTGAGCAAAATCAAAATGCACTTTTAATTCATTCAACAAATGCAACCATTCTACCTTCTCCCACTGGGACGGATTTCACTGTGCTAAAGCTGGAGGAGACCTTGGACTGGGGTCTGTCTCATCACTGGATTCCTACGGGAAGGAACTGACACTGAGGTCTACCCGTAGTGCTTTTTGGTTTGGGTTTTCTGTTTCCCTTCCCGACTTCAGTTACTGTTGGAACCTCAGTCTCATTAGCTTCTCCAGACTGCCCAGAACAACACAAACCTTTTATTTGGGGTTTTAAGAGTCAGGGGCTTGTTTTGTTGGTTTGGTTTTTTTTTTTTCATTTTGGTTGAGAATGAAACAAGTTCCTGGAGCAAAGAGTTGACTATTTAAGATAAGGATTTCTCGTTATTTTATTTTAAGCTGTAAGGTTCTGAGTTGCAAATCCAAGTCATGCGGCCTTATGTAGACTTTGCTTTGCATTGCCAAACTTTTGCCTTAAAGCTACGTTTGAGAACAAACCAACCCAAGAACACCACCAGGCAGAACGTCCTTTCGGCGGAATTTTTGGGAGAGAGTTGTGGAACAGGGAATAGATTGTCGGTGTGTGAGGGGCTGAGGGATGAGAAGGGCATGAAATTGGAAGCAGCGTGGTAGAGAGAAAATCTTCCTGGTTTTAAAAGCTGGAACAAGGAAGCACGGAAACAACCTCCGTTGCAAAGCAATGCAAATATCCAACCTGCTGCAGGGGGTCTGGAGTGGGAGCTACTGGGGCACCTCCCCGCCTGGCAGGAGGGGCAGCAAGCGAGCTTGTGCCGCTCACGCCGGGGAACTCGGCCGTTGGCGTTGTGACGGGGGATAACCCCACAGTGGGGACCGCCGCCCTGGGGTCAGCGTAAAACGAGAAGGGGGCAGGTCCCACTGGGCCTGGCTTTGGGCCAGGCAGACGTTTGCCCAGTAGCCCACGGTCTCACCTTCCTGTGGCTGAAGCTCACGCGGCGGCTGTTGGGGGCAGCTCTGTCACCCCGTTTTCCCAGGAAACCTAAGCGGCAGTGCTGCAGGAAGAGCAGAACGTAACGAGGACCCTGCTGAAGTCACGGGAGATGCACAGGCATGAGGGCAGATCTCATCTCCTGAGTCTGCCCAGCAATATCCACCATTCAGGAACAGCCACGTCGGAAGACACCAGGCACCCGTTCCTAGGGAACACGCCAAGCAGAAGCGACGAACTCTCTTCTTCCCACGGTAACAAAGCGACTTGGGGTCAGCAGTTGCTTCCCAAGGACCTTGCGATCCACACGGCTGTTGGGAGCGGGGCACAGGGCTGCGGGTGACTCCGTGCCTGGTGACGGCGCAAGCATCATCGTGCAGGGTGACGCAGGGGAAGGCGCGAGCGGGGCGAGACTTGGGTGCAGACCCTCCAGCGACAGGGTGCGTTTGGAACAGGAGGTGAAAGCGCGGGTTGCACCGCGGACCTGGAGCGGAGGGCTTCCGGGGCAGCCGGACGTGCTCCCGCAGAGGGGGGCCGTGCGAAGGCGACGGGCACGCTTTGCCGGCAGAGGGTGGTACTGGGGGGACAGGACGCGGACCAGGGAGCGTAGGATCTGCTCTCTTGCTCCAGCACACGGCCTGAGGTAGATCGCTTC